TAACACCTGCTAATACCCCTTGTTTTTAACCAGAAACAGAAGTCTCACTCAAGGACTGTACTCGCTGAGAATTCTCGTGAGAGACGAGTTGTTGCAGAAAGACAATGGTGGAAACGTGAGTTTGGAGAGAGGAGTTTGTTGTCTACATAGAGGAATTTCATGCAAGACTTTTATTTCCCAACGTTACTCCAACACAACAAACTCCTCTTTCCAACTCTGACTGATGTTTCCACCGGTTTCTTCCTTGAACAACTCGCCTTTCACGAGATTTCAAAGCGAGAATTGTCCTTGAGCTAGACTTCTGTTTCTGGCTAAAAATAAGGGGTGTTACTGTGTGTTACTTTTAGGGATCCTTTCCATTATGTTGTCAGACACCTGGTATAACAGTCTGAGCCTCTCAGTTGCAAAAAGAAGCACTTTTTGTGGATGTATTTTTTGATTTTCACAGGGTGCGATTAGCTCAGTTGGTAGAGTGTGCACCCCATGTACAAGCCTGAGTCCTTATTCCAGCGGCCCGGGTTTGAATCCAGCCCATGGTCCTTTGCTGCATGTTGTCCCCTCTCTCACTCTCTCTTTTCCTGCTTCTCTGTCCTATCTGAAATAAAGGCAAAGAAAGCCCAACAAATTCCCAACGGTTCGCAGCTGCCGGCTGAAGCCATGTACTGCGCAGATTTCAAAAGATTTTTTACCTACTAGTCATTTCGACCCCATAATATGTGAAAATAGCCCACTACGATATAAAAAAGACGTCCCTAGTAGTATGATATGTCTAAAAGTGTATGTCTTTATAAGCCGGGAAAAAATAATTTACCAAGCAATTGGTGGTCATATCAAAGCTAGCTTCTGCTACTTGCATCTGCTGTCTAAATCTGATGTGTTGATCAGCTTCTGTTCAAAAACAACAAACAACAAAACTCTGCTCATACAGCCAAGCTGCTCAAGAGTTGTAGACCTCCACTATGGCCGCCAGAGGGTTCAAGCCTAAACTGTATGTCATACACATCTAGAATCACTCACACTGTCACTGTGTATACAGCCATCTTTTGCAATGCACTACAGCGATTTTTTTCAAAAGAAATTTCCATTGTTTAAGTTGTTTAATTTAAAATTGTTTTTTCATATTTTTTTAAGATAATGTATCATTGCAGTCGTTTTAATACTTAGACTTTGCTTTTGCAATTTTAACATTTTTGATACAGCAGGATTGGTCCACCTTTTTGGTTTCTAGATTGTTATGTTTATTGTACAGTTAAATTGCACATTTAGCTTTTTTTCGATTATACTGTATGTTGCCAAAACTTTTAACATTTCATGTATTTATAATAAAGGTTCTTCATCAAAGCAAGAATGGCCTTATGAATCATTAATATAAATGCATGTTTATGATTTTGTTTCCACTGCATCTATCAAGATGTGTAGTTTCTGTAAACGTGAGGCTAGACATAATATAGACACTGATATAAACTAACAATAGCTTGAGTAGATTGTGAGATAATGAAATAACATAACACAATGTGGTGCTTTTCTATGCGGTTCTGTCTAAAAATAAATCCTAACCCTAATTATTAATCTATTCATCTTTATTCTACTCAAGCACAACTGCACTTTTCACCAGTGTTAATGAAGTTGTTCTTTGTATTGTAGTCCTCCTTTTAGCTTTGTAGCTGTGGTCTGATGGCAGTCTAAGCAGCCCTGCTTTTCTCCCCATACAGTTTTCTAACCAGTGTGGGCTGTCAGAACTTCATCGAGTACTTCACCGCCCAAGGCGTCCAGTCTATCTACCATCTTCAGAGTCTCTCCATGGAGGTAACTACTCCGTTCCTGCACTCACAATCTCACAGTGAAAATCATTATAACAGCAATGGAAAGAAAAAATGATAGAGAACATAAAACAGTTAGGAAAGTAAAAAATTATAAAAATGTCCCAGAGAAAGGTTTTTAAAATGTTTTTGATTTTGAAGATGGAAATAATTTTTATATTTTATAGCCTTACAAAAAGTGTGGAGTTTTTGACCATTAGTGATGATGTAAAGCAATGTTTAGATGAGCAGGCTCCATATTTTTTTGTATCTATAATCAAGCACATGAGGATGCACATGCCCTCTTTTTACATGTTTTTGCATTGGAGCTGGTACTGCTATTCTGCATTCTTACACTCGTCCAATGTCTTAAATGTGCACTTTCACCAGGATTTAGGTGCACTGAAGATACCGGAGCAGTCCCGCCTTGTCATTTGGCGAGGTCTGCAGGACATGAAACAAGGTGCTCCCCTCCAACTGCCAGCCTCTACTCATCACCATGACTATCATGGCCAGCAGCTTCTTCGCTCCAGCAGCAACATGGCTGCCTCTGCAATGGCAGCCATTGGGGCTGCTGGAGGGGAACTGCAGCGTCAGCGTGTCATGGAGGCTGTGCACTTCCGTGTACGCCACACCATCACCATCCCCAGCAGGTCAGGTGTTGTTGGGACATCGGGGATGGCAGCAGCTACTGATGAGTGGGCTGATTTTGGTTTCGACATGCCCGACTGCAAGCTGTCACGGAGCAAGCACTCCATTAAAGAGGAGTTCATGGAAAGTGACGTTCACTGAGCCCGAAAAGAATCTTTGGACTGTTTTGCCAATTATTGTCAACATAAACCTATTTACAGAGTCAAAGCATGTGGATAGGGTCTTTAAATGTGCTTTTAAGTGTTACTGTCATATTTCAGTCAGATTGATTGACTGTGTTTTTTGACTGAGTGATTTCGCAGAGAATCAGTTTTGATTGTGGGACATTTTCAGTACACTTTCCTGCGCAGTTTTTATTTTGTGCTTGAACAATTGTTCCACCTAGAAGACTGAACGTGAGATGGCACAAAAGTACGTCTCAAGTCTAAATAGCAAATACCACTGTGGCAATAGCACTGTCTAGGCAATGCTAAACACACATGGTCTGGACTATAATATTTGGGACTCTGATGAGTGCATGTTAAAAGAGGGAACTGTATTTTTTTCTGGAAAACCGGATGTTGTGCAATAATACATGATACATTTATCTTTTACAGCATCCAATTACTTTTATGGTGAACAGAAAATGTAGCAATTGCACAACCACACAAATGTCACAGTAGACATATCACCATTTCACAACTTTCTAGTTTCAATTTTGTTTTTGAATACACAAATGTAATTCTCAGCTGACTTATTTATTGTTCTTGCAGTTTTCCTTCACTTGTACAAATGTATATACAGTACCTTGTAAATGTTTTGGACTAGATGTGGTTGAAAAGGGGTATTTAGTTTCAAAATGATGAAATTTCTTGTTTGAACCAAATGTATAGAATTGAATGGTAATACTGATTACTCAGCTATGGGATCACATAATCATGTATATTTTTATTGGCTATAATAATGTCACATCCTCTAGTTCAGTATGCCCTTATCATTTCATTGTTAAAAATGGTTAATGGGCTTTGGTATTAATAGTGTGTATTCATGAAAAGTCAATACATAATATCATAAGTTAGACATTGCATCAATTTGTTTTTAGTAAGTCGTAGAAAATATTGTGTTAATTCTTGTATAGAAACACACTGCAAAACTGTTGAGTGACAAAACATCAAAAACAGTATTATATCTTTATAGTAGGGATTTAATCAGAACAATACATAAAGAATAGTATCCCTGTTTACCAAGACACTAGACAAGACAGTAGCATTTTCGTCCTTCTCTGTGTATTTTTGAAAACCTTGCAGGGCAAGGTCCTCATATATTGATTATAGCTAGTTGTGTATCTAGTGTGTATCTTCACGGCACTTGTTTGTGGATATTTAATCGCAACATTCCAGTTTTATTTCTAGATTGCCATCCAGCATGAATCATGGTGCAATTCTAGTAATGGTGTCAAATGTGTTTGTAGTAACTACATGACTTTGTGATATGATGACATGATGGCATGATAATAATTTGTACCTAACTTGCATCCATTTTCTTTATAAAGGCATTCTTGCTTACAAAGACAGATACCTTCACCCACTAAGCAACAACTGGTCAAAGAAAGAGCACTTTAATACTTGAAAAGTAAAATAATCAAGGATTATTTGTGTTTATGATCAGTATTATGCATTACCACAATGTAATAAGTTCTTTGTTATCAGTTTTGTAACGATTAAGATGTGTACCTATGTAACTATTGCTGTCAATGTCAATGTCCATTAGTTTCTGAGGTTGTTAAGTTCAGTGTTTATTCTCCCCTTAAAATTATGGATATTAAACTATTTGCCTCACTTTAATGTCTCTCTTTATCAAAGTCAAAAAAGGTTTTAGACTAATAACTGGTATGACTTTTATTTGAAGGGTAACGTTATAGTCTAAATCTAGTTAGTGTTTAATAAGAAATGCATCGAAATTAAGATGGTATTTATTTACATTACTCGGGCAGGGACGTGTTGTTCATTCATAGCTCTTATTCAATCTCTATCAAGTAGTTCGTGGTTTTCGGGACTCTACTATCCTGTCTGTCGTTTGTTCGAATCCTCGCGGAAGCACTGACGTGTTCACACCAGTTTTCAGGAGAGGTGGCTAGTTTAGCTAGCTAGGTAGAGCCGGGTAGTGACACAGCGGCCGATTCAGGTAAGAAAGGACTGTCATTGATTATTTTCACGGCAATTGTAAACACAACCAAGAGATGCAAGCAGGTATGGAAACTAAGAAACATGGTTCAAAACGATTGTATCGCTCAGTGAATATGAATGTGGGCACTAGAGAATAGATTGATTTCCAACTGGGCTAGTAGGCTAGCCGTGGAGCCGTTGGCAACGTAGTATGTTACCGTATCTCCGGAAGTGAGTTGTCAGGTTATCAAAGTCCTTGCTGGTATTTGTAGTTCAACGTTTTCCTGAGAAACATAAATTGAAATGGAAATACAGCCATTCATGAACTACATTTTCTGTTGCAAGTGCTCTACGCGTGAGTTCTGGGAAATGTAGTTACTTAAATTAATTTAAGGGCCGATATGGTTTAACGGAACCTTTATTAAAACTACATAACCCATACAAGCGGTAATTTGGGCGAAAGGGCAATGTACATTTAGATGGCTAGTTAACTAGCTACTTCTTGGGACAATTTTCTGGCTAACGTGAGTAATTTTAACATAATATCACGGACAAAACAGATATTGCATTATCTGTCTCGATGGTAGCCATGTTGTGGTTTTCCGAAAGAGTCTCTTTTGATAAATAAGAATTACTAGCTGATTTCGTGTCTGTCTGTGCCTGTTAGCTAGTGATGCAGCTAATGTTAGCCACAACCCCGACCAGTTCTACACGGTCTTTCGTTTTTTAGCAGACGTTACATGTCTAAATGAATAATAAAAATGCCCTGTATTGGCTATGGTAATACAGTGCAATTTGGTAATCAAAACCGGAACAGAACTCAAGCTACAATGTTTAAAGTGGAAACCCGTTTAACGGTACCTAGGAAATTCGTGATTTACTCGTTGTGAATTCAATGGGTCTCTTTAAAGTAACGTAATAAGTAAACGTAGCCGAGATATATAGCCATTAGTTTGAAGTTACAAAATCGTTACTTAGTTTGTCAATTTTAACAGAGCGACCACAAAATTTTGTTCTCCAGGCCATTTTCCCCATGTCCGTAATCTACATGGACATCATTCTGATACCCGCGCAGTGCTCATGTGTATCTGTCAGACAGCTGCTCAGCTGGACTCACTTCGTCACAGTTGAAAGAGTACATAACAGAGAAACTTGTCCTGCTGTTTATAGCTCCAAACGGCTGCTTCTCTATAAAGATGATCACAAATTTCAGTCGTTGCTTTCTTTCCCCTTTTAAGGGTGGGTTTCTTGTCATTACCTTCACTTAAAATCAGGGGTTTTAGAATTGAGAAAACCGAAATCTCCATGTCCTTTCAGCTCACCAGATGCTTATTATTAGAACTAAATCTATAATACCAACTCATGTTTTAAAGAATATTCACAAATATGACAATTCATGACAATAATGCTATTAGATTGATATTTCTTCATAGCACAGCATCGTGATTATAGATGAAGCCAGATATTAAACATGTTTCAGACATTACAGTTCAGAGATCCAGTGTACCTGTTTCCATTTTTAGCGCAAAGGCCAATTTCTCACTTACACCTACTAAGACATCAAACATGTAATGTTGTAAATGTAAATAAAACGACACGTTAAGTCAACGTTGAGATGCGTGTTTTGTTGGAAACAGTTTCTGTCTTACAAACGTAATTGAAATTCCAGCTAAAATATCCAAGAATGGGAGCTGCTGGACTTGTGCATGCTAGATAATAAAACTGCCTGCTGCAGCTTATAAAGTCTGTTTGTTTTGTTTTGTTTTTTATCTTCCATGGCAGAATGTCAGAAGGGGACAGTGTTGGGGAGTCAATCCATGGGAAGCCATCTGTAGTCTCTGCCTTTTTCACACGGGTTGGACAGGTAACGTGTCTATCACTCAGGTCACACATATATCATATCATTTAAGTAATTAGGGATTAAATAATTTGATACTGTGTTTGATGCTGTGTGTCTCATGACTGTTAAGCACTGGTCTAATTACCTTCCTAACACATGTTTAAATGTGCTGCTAAAATGCTGATGGGTATCAGTTTAATTGGTGGTGATAAAAGTCACTTCCATGGAATGAATTGGTTATGCCAGTGGCACTTTCTTTTCAGAAATACTTCTGTAGTGGAATGTTACAGGACCAGTGGTGCTGCCATCTTCAGATATCCTGAAAATTGCGCACACAGGTTTAATACTCTTTTGTTTCAATTGTAAATTAGCAGCACAGTGTTCAAGTGTAGGACTTTTCCTGTTTTCAGATTCCTTTTTTCTATCGCATATTCTTTGCTCCTCAGTAGTAGTATTCCTCGAGCTTTGTACTCAGCAGCAGCATCAGTGCTGAAAAAGTGTTATCAGTGCATCCTTGCTATAAGAGAGAAGGTGGCCATCGATTTGTCCAGTTGTATTGGTCAGTCATGCAGAAAAGATCATGGGTTCAAGGGTTAGGGGATTCTTACATTACAGTATATTAATTTACTGTAAGTAGAAATTAGGGTCATGATAGTCATTAGATGCCCATTTAATGTCCTATATCACTGTATCTCCCCACAGTGAAAGTGACAGTGTTTTTCAGTGGCTCTGTAAGGTTGTGAAATGTTCATAGGTGACACTCTCCACCTCTAATGGCTTCATTTTTATTCCTTTGTCAATTTTTTTGTAACAGATCTATCAGTCATGGCTAGACAAGTCAACGCCATTCTATGCAGTGCGATGGGCCAGCACTCTACTACTTACTGCTGTCTACATGATCCGAGTGTACATACTACAGGCAAGTGTTTATTTCAGTTGTTTCAAATTTAGTACAGTATATTCTTTGCTAAGCAGAAAATGTAAAACTTGTAAATAGTTAAAGCACTACTTTTACAAAATGATTCACTTGGCCACTGCAATATCCAGTTTCTTGAGACTTTGTACTGTACTTTTTTTCATCCAAGGTGAACGATTGACTTAGGTGACCCTCCAAGAGGAGAGTGACTGTACATCTTTTTTTGTTGTGACCATTCTGTCTAATGTGTAACATGGATGTTTGGTCCACTCGCCTTTCTGTTTAATGAAAATGTTCTTGCTCATTTGTGTATGTAATTTTTACTAACAAATGTGCTTTTTTACTGTTTACTAGCTGCCAAGAAAGCCTTTTAATATATTGATGTTCCTTATACTACTTTTCAGGGCTGGTATATAGTAACATATGCTTTGGGAATCTACCATCTCAACCTGTTCATTGCTTTTCTATCGCCAAAAGTGGATCCTTCACTGCTTGACGAAGGCAAGTTGACTCAATTAAATCGGATCAGTTTTTGTAACTGGGTCGTGTTGTGTACTTAGCAGTAGGTTACCTCTTGAGATGTTAGCTGCCTGTTTATTTAGGCTTTTTACTGGTAACAATTAAGTTTATTATCAATTCCATCAAAGTTGAAGCTAAAATCAGATGTTACTAAAAATGCTTTCTATACATGATACAGGTAAGCGCCAACTTGTTGTTATTTGTTATGAAAGCTTTCTAAGGAGATATAGTTGTCTGAAGAGATCTGAAACTGCTGTACATTAATACATCTCCATATGGAGTTAATATTTAGTTTTTCCCCTCAAAGCGTTTAGTTGGAACTGGGTAAAGTAACATTGAGATGTATAGATCCAAATAGGCAAAGAAAATAGCTCCACAAGTCAAACTTATCATAACATCTAAGAAAACAGTGCCAGCCACACTGTTAATAAGAAAGAATACAGAAGTGACTGCTAATGTCCAAAAACTGTTGTGAAATAATTTGCATAGTTTTAACAAGCATTTCATTTATACACAATTGTTGTTATAGATTGTGAAAACATTTCAGACTAGTTTGAGTTCCACACTTATTAAGTCTTTTCAAAAACTAAAAGAACCTTAATCATACTTTTCATCAGATAGTGGTTTTTTGTATGTTGTAGCTTGGATATTGTTGGGCTAAATGCTTAGTCATGATTGAAGGTTCCCAACTTTTATTAACTTGTACACCACCCTGAAATCTCTCCTGCAGATGAGGGACCATCCCTTCCTACCAAGCAGAATGAGGAGTTCCGCCCTTTCATCAGGAGGTTGCCTGAATTCAAATTCTGGTGAGTGCAGTTCACGGTCTGTGCACCTAGCACTTTCATCCACAGAGAGATTGCAATTCATATTCTCTCAAATGACCTGTATGGGCAAAGTTTAAGTCATGTGGAGCTCATTTGTAAAAGGAAGTAGCATTTTAGCATAAGGTAATGGATTGAATTCACCTGTGTGTATTTGCTTGTCAACTTAATCTGTACTACGTTCCTGGCATCCATAGATTGTCCCTATAGCATTACCTTCTCTTAAAGGGATAAAAACTTTCATTAGCCTTTTTTAAGCATGGCTTGACAAACTTTCACTGTGACTGTTAACATTGTTGAGCAGTTTCAGTCATTATAAAAATGGTGTATCAATGGAAATGCTGCTTATTGAGCATTAAGCCTACTCGTTCCACCATTTACAGTGTGTGTTGTCTGTCATGTTTTATGCAAACTCTGTGTCCTCGTGCTAAAGCAGGATGAGATGAAAGTAGTTTTTCATCAGCCAACATACATTACATTTGGCATTTGCCTGGTGTATGAAAAGATAATCCTTGGTTCCCCTTTCTATGTGGATGTGTCAAACATTTCAGGGGGGGGTTTCAACTTGAAAATGTAAATGACCTGGGGTTTTTTTTATTCTAAACTAAGTGTAGTAGTAGTGAATTGTTAATAGCTTAGACTGAACTTGAGAAAATAAATCACATTAGAATACATTAAGATATTAAGCTTAGCCAACAACATTTTGTTAAGATTGTTAAGAGCTGTTAGTCAAATTAATTTTCCACTAATGCTATATGCTACTGCATTTTCCAATTTGGGTTTATTAAATCCATTCCTTGGATTACTCTCCCCCACATTGATCCCGAAATGATTAATTTTTTTTAAATGTCTTGACGTAGATGACACATTCAGTTTATGACTGTGGGTTTGAGTTGAGGATGTTATTGATTTATGCTTCCTCAATGTTACAAAGGTGGTTGCACTGTTTAAAATTATTATGTTACTTTTGTTGGCAGGCATTCAGCGACAAAAGGCATCGTCATCGCCATGATTTGCACATTTTTTGATGCCTTCAATGTGCCAGTGTTCTGGCCTATACTTGTCATGTACTTCATCATGCTCTTCTGCATCACCATGAAGAGGCAGATCAAGGTGATTATTATACACTGGCTGACATACAGCACGTGTACTGAACATACACACCGTACTGGAGGCAAGTTAATGCAAATGTTGCAATTCATCCAAAAAGCAAGCCAAATGTATTCATCATGCACACGAGCTGTATTAAATGTCAGGAACACCAGACTATATACAACATTAAATTAAGAGAAGAGATGACTCAACAACCCTCTGACAAAGCTTTTACCCAAACTAATCAACTTAACCCTCACAAAGGTCATATGTTTTGGGCTGTTTTATTCACCTGTGTTATTGTTATGTCCATCCTTTATATGCAGTGCATTTGTTTTATTTTAAACACTAAAAGTGCTAATCCCTTCTTTCTTTCTTTTTTTTTTTGTAAGAAAAAAATGTGCCACTCCATCACATGGTATATTTTGTGAAAGATGTGTGAGCAAACCCTAGAAATGCCTGTTTGTAATTCTGCTGTTTTTCTCCCCTCACCTTCTCTAGCACATGGTGAAGTACAGATACCTACCCTTCACACATGGGAAGAGGACATACAAAGGCAAGGACGACACAGGGAAAGCGTTTGCTAGTTAAAAGCTCCCATTTACCCTTCCCTTCCTTCTCATTTGAAATTTATTGGTCGCAGTTAGTCGGGACATGACCAGGGTTAGAGATTTATTTTCTTTTACTTTTTTTTGGAAGCGGAACAGTTAACATGAAAACATCATATGAAAAAGATCTGTGGTTATAGGGTTTGGAGAGGAAATGAGCAGCATGGATCAAATTAGTCTGGGAATATTGCCATTGTCTATTAAGTTTTTGTTTTTGTTTTTTTGTTTTTGATGACCACAATCCTCATTTTAGGATTGGTCTGCATTTGTTCAGTAGTAAGTGAGACTCAGTGCTACCTTTTGCCTTTTTCACCCCACTGGGTAAGTATAAAGTCACCAAGCAAGGAACCACACTGAAAAATTTGCAGTGAAATTTGTGTTGTTTTTTTTTTCTTCTTCTGATGAATGATGGTGATTTCAGTGCACCTCCTTCACCCAAGTGAAATAACTCTGCCAACGTTTGATATATTGGTACCTACTTATTTGTAACAAGTTATACACTGAAAGTCAGTAGTGTTAGGATCAAAATAACATGCTTAGATGTGTAAGATGAAATCTGACGGAAATGCAACGGTCTTCAAGTTGAATCTCATCTTTTGTGATAAGAATGTGTGGCTGCTCTGGCTCACAAGTGTCTCAGCCAGTTTTGGAGAAATTAGTCACATTTCACTTGAATATGCATTCATGATAGGCAAAAACATACACCTATCATCATAGTTCATGAAATGTTCCAGCGTAAATCATTCTTCATTGATTTTTATCTTGAATAGGCAACTCATGCAATTATGTGTATTACCTGATTCTAACTAGCATAGCCAGCGGAGCAAGCGTCAATATTAATGATTATCAGTGACTTTATTTGAATCTTCAGTCACCCACCACATCATTGAATGCATAATTCAAAGTGAGTGTCACTAACCCCAACCAGTTTTGTCTCTTGTAGCCCGTAGTCTACCTTTAATCAGTTCTTTCTACTTTTGCGCCTTTTGTAGAGTTTAACAGATGGGATACTGTGTCATTGACCGCCCCAAAAAACTAAATTCTTCAATTATTTTTCATTTAGCTTGCAATGGCAAGTCAATGAATTTGCTTTACCTCATCTTTTCACACCATTATGTGGATCATTATTCAAAACAAACTGTCTTCAAAGTGCACAACTAGTATTTAAGTCCAGTTCATAACATGGTCTAATCTGAGATTAAAGTCAAGCATAGACACACAGTTTACCCCGACGACCTTTTCGCTTCGAAACATTACCATCTGTGTTTCAAAGCCTGAAGTCCATCCGATTTGTGTAGAATAGTTGTTGTAGTCTTTTATATTCTGTGTTTACTTTGAAAAAAGTTATGATAAATATAGTCATTCCAAGCAAACCTTTGTTCTCTTTCTTTTGCAGAGGAAACATAAGAAAACAGAGATTGAGAGCTTTTATTATAACAAATGGATGAAGTGGGTGGCGATCACACTTTCTTTTCTATAAACCTGTTGATTTGTTTCCCCAATTTTATCTGAATGCTGGGGATTATCTGTCATGACTAAACTTTGATCAGCACTGTAGTATGGGATTAAAACATTTTCCTGTAAAAAGTTTGTGTTTCAAAGGGTTGTGTGGAGGATTTGTGTGTGTGTGTGTATATATACATATATATATATTTTAAAATATGATGATTTTTTTTTTGAGATTTTTATTTTTTTTTCTTCCAACCACCATACTGTTTCCAAGTAATTTAAATCCATTTCAGTTTAAATTTATGAAAGCAGAACTGGTTAATTGGGTTCTAGATTTGATTAATTAAATATGTTTCTCATGAATTGCATGTTATTGTTTTTCTTGTGCTACAGTTATATACAAAAAACTTGATTTTAATAACTTAAGTGTAATTTTTTCACTCCAAATGCTATTAAAGAGGCTGTGTCCCTTCGAACAGTACATGGGTGTCGGCTTCATATTTTATAGGTACTCATGGAAGAGAGTTAGAGGATCAACAACCAAAACATTTGGTCTGGGCCCAAGGTGTCAATACACTTCTATTCCCTGAAGTCGACACCCTTTCAATACGGTTCATAATTCACTCTCTGAATTGGTGATGAGAAATACAAGAAAAAGTGCAACATTTTGTTATCAGAATTCATCTCTAACTTATTATTTTGCACTTTTCTGCAGATACTTATCACACAGTAAACTAAAAAGCCAAAATCTTCTAATCGAGGTGAAATGTCTCCCATGAATGTTAAATATTTTTCTCATTTTTATGCTTATAAGTTTTAAACTTGAGTACATTTGGTTAGTTGGCCAATCGCAGGAATGTGTGATCTCTAGGATTACCAGATATAGGCCTATAGGGCCATAAAACTTTTTTGCTCAGGATGATTGTTAAAGCCTGTGCATACAAGACCTCTCTGCAGCAGCAGTTTTGATGATTTTTGCATAGTGATGAGTACCTATTTATGCCACCTCATACACTCCCAAATATATGGAAATTATCACTGTGGTTAACCGTCTCCAGTGTCTCATTACTTACTTAAGGCAGCAGCAAATCCCTTTAGAGTTCACATCGGATTGGTAAGCGATGAATGAAGAACAAAAATGAAACATTTCCTTGCTTCTCTGTGTCTCCTGGAATCTTTTCTACATGCCTTGTGCCAATGCACTGTCCCAACCTCAGCGTTTCGGCTGAAAGGAGATTATCTGATAGGTGGACTTTTTGATATTCATCAAGCTGATGTCTCTCTTCATCATGACAGACCAGAAGCAACTGACTGCTCCAGGTGAGTTTCATAATCAGTTTGAATAGATACCTTCAGAAGATGAAACCAATGAACGCAAAGTGTACCAGATGTGATTTTTATATATTCAAAAGTGTTGTTTCAAATGCTACAGCTAGTAGAACGTTTTTGCCCACACCAATTTCATTCATACTTACCATAGCCTGTTATCAAGGTTGTTAAAGGACATCAAGTGAGCATTATTGACCTCAGTCCTTGTTCTGTAAAATCCTCTTTTACGTATCCATGTCTGTACAGCCCACACAAACTGTACTATTTGAACAATCAAACTAATTCTTACCCTCTCACTGTGTTCTCTGTTCACAGTAAACCCTTCATTCTGTCAAGTTATCGGAGGTTTCAGATGATGAGATTCTCTGTAGAGGAAATCAATAACTCGACCACCCTACTGCCAAATGTATTTCTTGGCTATGAGATATTTGACCACTGCTCGGACACAATGAATTTTCCTGGTGTTTTCGACCTCATCTCAGTCAATGGCCTGATCCAACCATGGATTGAACCACAAAAGAATCTGTCCAAAGTCATAGCAGTGGTCGGCATTTATACAAGCACTGAGACGGAGACCACTGCCCCACTCTTCATGATGAATCTCGTTCCCATGGTAAATTTGCCCACTGTTGTAGTTTTACTAGATCACGTGATCACAGTTTTAAATAAATTTTAAAAAATGAAAAACTGCTTTAAATTTTGAAAATGTATTTTCACTGAAATACTGACATTTTCTCTGTTCTTCTGTAACAGGTCAGTTATGGAGCTGCTAGTTCTGTCTTTTCAAGAAAACAGAATTTTCCCTCTTTCCTGCGAACAGTGCATCCCAATAAAGACATCATACAAGCAATTGTTACCATTGTGCAGCACTTTGGCTGGCGCTGGGTTGCTTTCCTTAACATTGATGATGACTATGGCACTGATGGCCTGGAATTGTTCATTAACAAGATTAAAGATACTGACATCTGCCTGGCGTACACCAAAGGTCTAACCGTAAATACAAATTACTCCCAAATGTTCAAACAGATAGAAGCACAGGGCATACATGTCATTATTGTTTTTGCTCCTGAATGGATTGCTGAACCTGTCATTAACTCAGCAATACAATTGAATGTCACCAACAAGGTCTGGATAGCAGGGGATGCATGGTCTTTAAACAAGAGGCTCCCCAAGGAAACAGGAATCAAAAATATCGGAACTGTACTTGGGGTTTCTGAGCCATTTATGACAATTCCAGGTTTCAGTGAGTTCATCTATGCTTCCAAAAAACAGACTCAGTGTGAAAAAGAAAATCAAGAGCCGTTATGTAATCAGGTTTGCAACTGCAGTAACCTGAGTCCAGAAAATGTCATCAATGCAGACCCATCTTTCTCTTTCCCTGTTTATTCTGCTGTATATGCAATTGCTCATGCCTTACACAATGTCTTGCAATGTGGAGCTGGCAGATGTAATGGCAACATTACAGTGCACCCATACATGGTAAGTATACAAATAATTTGAGTATTTATATTTTGCTCATTTATGTTTCTGATTACTTTAACTTAAATATGTCATTTTGAAGGTAACATATAAGTCTGCTTTGTAATAATGTCAGACAGATTTAAACATAGCCTTGAACCTGTCAAACAATCAGGTAAACATCAGGCAATAGATCCACACATTCTCCATAAAACTCCTAATACGTTTAATTTGATAAAGCAATGTTTCAATCTCATGCAGATGTTTGTCAGGCTTTCTTATTATCATCAAGGTGTCACTATCAGTTTCTACAACCTGTAGTGGGAGGAATCAAAGTGCAGTTCCTTCTTGACAGGATAAAAAAAAAAACTATTCTATTTAATCAACACCTCGTATGTCCACAGTGAACACATGACCGTAATTGTTATCTGAACTTTGTGTGTCCACATCAGGTTCTAGCAGAGCTGAAGAAGTCCAACTTCACACTTTTAAACCACCGTATTCAATTTGATGAGAATGGTGACCCCACGTTTGGATCATATTCTATAGTTTTCTGGAACCATAATGGTGATGCAGAGGAAATTGGCTTTTATAACTTTAATCCACGGGACAATTTTTTCATCAACACCACCAAAATTCAGTGGTACACAAAGGGAGAAGTAAGTTGTTTTTTCCGTATTAGGTCTAGTGTAATGCAGTATAACTGTTTGTGCAGAATATGATTAAATAAAAACATTTGTTTAATAATAGTGTGACATGCTTAAAATATAAAATTAAGAATATCAACCAATGGTGGTGGTTCATGATGTAATTTGCAGGGAGGTCTAAATATAAATAAAATTATGAATTTAAAACCCCACTTTCATCTTTTTCTGCAGATAAAAACATTCTTCACAGTATTGTTTCTTGCTTCACTTATATTTTATTTGTTGCTTAATAATTGTCTTGCACAGGTGCCTACTTCCCTATGTAACCCAGAATGTCCTGCAGGACATGCAAAACAGCCTAGTGGAATTCAGAAATGCTGCTTCACTTGTGAAATCTGTCTGAATGGAACTTATGTCAACAGCACAGGTAAATTATTACGTGTGTGTGTGTGTGTGTGTATGTGTATGTGTGTGTGTGTGTGTGTGTGTGTGTGTTTCCCATTTTACCTGTCATAGTCTAAATAACTAATGATTTGTCACTAGTCACTTTTCAGAAATAAAGTCGCTGAGAGGGTCTGAAAAGCCTCTTAGTCTAGCAAGAAAGTCATAGAGACTGCAATGAAAATAGTGTGTGTTAGGGTGCATGTTATATTCTGTATTTAATAACCCATATAGGTCTCCTTCCACGCTGATGAATGAACATTCCAATGAATCCAGAGCTTACTGAGTAAATGAGGGCTGTGAAAAAAACCTGTTGTGGAAAATGGTTATAAGAATATCCTGTTGTCTTCAACTGCATGTTGGACCAGCTTCCTTTCATCATACAAAACATTACCGTCTTGTTAAAATGTATTTGTAGGCAACTTGGAGAAACTAACATGAGACAGCTAGATTTTGGCAGTTTCCAATCTGAAAAAATCCTACCCCCTACTTTCAGGCCTCCCTCCAAAGCCACTCAACCAAAACACATTTTCTGAGTGCGGACAGGCAGGCGAGTAGGCAGGAAGGTGTAGGCCAGGCCATGCTTTTAAGAGTCCTGCTGTCAGTATGTTAAGAGTAATTCAACAAATATAACGAAACATACTAAATTGCCTAACCTAGCTTAAAAAATTAATGCAAGTTTGAGTTATATGAAAAGTCATCTTAGGAGAACATAAAATACAACAAACGATTTACAATATGAAAACACTGCTTTCTAAGTTGTCTGTTATTTCATCAAAAGTTAACCTTAACTTTACAAACAAATTGACAAATTGTTTCATGTTCAACAGTGGACGCCTACAGTTGCATTAACTGTAAGGAGACAGAATGGTCTACAGAAGGAAGTACATCATGCAATCTGCGGGACGTGGAGTACATCCCATTCACAGACAGTGTGGCTATACTGATCATGATCGGGGCCTGGGCCTTGGTGGGCCTCACACTAGCCATGTGCATTCTCTTTGCCATCAACTATAGTACCCCTATTGTCAGATCTGCTGGGGGATCGATGTGCTTCCTAATTTTAGGCTGCCTCAGTCTGAGTAGTCTTAGTGTGTTCTTTTACTTTGGTAAGCCAACAGTTTCCTTTTGTATCTTAAGGCTCTTGCCATTTCTTTTGTTCTACACTGTTTGTCTAGCATGTTTTGTTGTGCGCTCTTTTCAAATTGTTTGCATTTTCAAAATAGCTGCCAAGTTTCCCAAGCTCCACATTTGGTGGATGAAATATAATGGACAATGGCTGGTCATCACTGTGGCATTTGTTACTCAGGCAGTCTTACTTCTTATTGGATATTCTTATGCCCCCCCCATGCCCTACAATGAAACGTTTTGGTACCCAGACAAAATCATACTTAGTTGTGACAGTAATATTGAATCATCAGCAGGTTCTGTGATTTTACTTTTTTCTTTGTGCTCCCTTTGCTTCATTTTCTCCTACATGGGAAAAGACCTCCCAAAAAATTACAATGAGGCCAAAGCAATAACCTTCTGCCTGCTCCTGCTGATCCTCACCTGGATCATCTTTACCACTGAGTACATGCTTTACCGTGGCAAGCACATCCCAACTCTTAATGCTCTGGCAGTACTCTCCAGTCTCTACTCCTTCCTGTTGTGGTATTTCCTCCCAAAGTGTTACATCATAATTTTTAAACCCCACAAAAACACGCAGCAGTACTTCCAAGGTCTCATTCAGAATTATACCAAAACAATTAGCCAGTAGCTGCCTTCAGTAAACATAGCTCTTTACATACAGAGGAACTAATGTGCTCAATGCAATTCTAGTCATTTTATCTTTTAGAGTGCATAGTAATACACAGTAGTAGTTTGAATATTTGCCTCATTGTGTCTCCTTCTTGCAAGAGTTGCAAATTAATCTGATCTAATGCATGTTTTTGATTATTATTATTATTATTATTATGAGGTATAAATCCATAAGAAATGTACTTACACTAGCGAAAGAGCAGTTGTTATAGGTTAAATCTTTGCACTTGGATAACTAAATCCAAGAGAATATGTGCATGTAATGTTATTGGCATATGGATAAAAACTGTAAGATTAAATGTACACTGTATTTTAAATGGACAAGTTTACAACTTCACAGTAAATGATCACATTAAGGTAATTCTGATATGCCCTTGCATAAATCCAGATATTAATATGTACATTCTGTGCAGTTATATAACAGTAAGAGAAATTTAATAAAGATATGAAATGGGATGTGTGCTCTTTTCTGTTAAACTGTTTTTTGACACTCATACTTAAACAACAAAAAAGGTCGTTTGCCAATGACATGACAGTTGGACAGTAGGCTACCAGTTTCATGGTTACGATAATAAACACACGGTTAACGTGCAACGGTCGCAGTTTGGTAGTTTGAAGGTTTAGGCCCAGCAACAACCTCTGGGCCAATAAAATGAAGCCAATCCTGAAGTTCCAAACTGGCTTCAAAAGTGTCCATTGGGTGGGAGGTTTAATGAGGACACAATTAAAGGGTCTGTCGGTTGTTTTCACAACACTATGCCTCCCTTGTGACAATAGTTGACTGCTTTGCATGATCTGAAAAAGTCTGAATGCATGGGTCTTGCATATGTTTGTATTCAAAATAGCTAGCGCTATAAATATGTGTAGATCTAAATCAGTAAAAGTTACCTAATGTTTGTATATTACAACACAGAAGACGTGGAAGATTTGTGAAGAAATTACAGTAACCCAAGGGTATTAGGAATACTGTGAATGCCAAATGGACAACAAGTAATGCCTATGAATACAATAAGTAGCACACTATGATGTGACTATGTTTGCTGAATAAAGGGCAACAGTGTTTGATCAGTTTTCATGTTTTGGCATGGTTTTGTTTTTTAATGAGGCACTTAATAAATAACTTTCAGTGAACATTACAACAACATTATCAACAGAATGTGAAGAAGTAACAGTTCTGACGTTATGTCAGAGACTTCTGTGTGTTATCTACCAAAGTTACCATGTTAATAACTCTCAGCTAGATCTGGTCTGTACTGACCATTAATACCACTTATACCTCAAGAGGTGATAGTCTGATAGGATAGCTCAGCCTCTTCTCTGCCTCTCTGATGCCAGAGCTCCCTCTGGTTCCTCTCAAGCTGGATGCCTCTCCTGTCCTCGCCTGAACCCACCGTAACCTGCCTTGTCTTTGTCCCCAGAGTCAGGGTACTGGTCAGAGTTAATCACCTTGGTACTGTATTCCCTGTCATCAAACTGGCCTCTGTCAGTCTAGGAGGCTGTGTTTGGTCATGATCACTTGGAGGCTGCTGAGCCTGCATGGTTTTGCTGACCTCTCACCGGCCTCCAGTTCTGGTGCCCATTCACAGTCAGCTAATAGGACCGCTAAGTTAGTGAGTAGCAGCAGTTATTACCTGAGGACCCCCTCAAAAATGAGATGGTTCATCTCAAGGGGTTTATCCTTTTCAATAAGCTTGCAACAATTTGATAGGTGGAAAGTAGGGACACATTGTACCTTTAACCTTGTTATGACATTAGCTTGTGTTTTTTATTATTTCATGATCCCTATTGTTTTAGTACAGACCAGGTTGATGTTAAGCTCGGACGGGAGGAAGGTTGACTTTCGCGCAAAATGCAAATGAGAAAATCCATGTCTGATCCTAGCATTTTGTCACCCTATGCATGCCACAACCAGAATCTCAAACCAACCTTTTTTCTCCATATCAAACACAGCTCTGTAATCACTGTGCATGGCTGCAGTTATTGCTTTCTAGATATCTCTCGTCTCTTCCTTCACAGAAGTCCATCCACTCTAAAGATAGCTCAGCTCCAGCTCTGATCAGCTATGTAACTCATATCAGTCAAATCCCAAAACTCAGAGTTATTATCTGGATAATAATAACAACAAATGAAATACTGTGATACAGTTACAACCGCTGACTTACTTTTGCTGTTTTTGCTGTTTTCAGTCCAAAACCGGCTGCCATCTCTTCTTTGTTTTTCTCATCAAAATGAAGGAGAGAAGAAGTGTTGCTTTGGAACAGACGGTCTTTATCATCGTCTACTGGCCGACTTGTTGGAGATACACAGACATCTAATATACCAAACAATTCAAAACAGTTGAGGGCCTGTAAAGCATGGGAGTGCTTTTGGTCAGAAATGACTAGAACAAGTGCTCTGTGGAGCTCATTAGGTGTAACTTTTTCTGTTCACAGTTTTACTGTAGAAGTTTGAAAGAAAAACAGCTAATGCTGCATGAGTACTGTACTTCTGACTAGAAAACATTTATAAAAGGAAGTTGGCCCAACATGCGCCAATACTGCCCACAAGGCCTACTACTTCTGGTCCACTGATGTTCATAGAAAATCCTTAGCAAAAGTCTTTTCAATCAAATCATATCAAAGCATTTAGCCTATTTATACTTAATGAGTTGTGGACATGTTGATTTAATAAGTTAATGAAATAAAGTTCACATTCTATTTTTTTGTGTTCTCACTGACACACACTGTTTATTATTGTCAAAGCTGTGTATTCAGCTTTGACAGTATGACCACTAGTCTGTTGAGTTGTGATAGAGAGAGACTGAGAGCATCTATTCACACTGATTTCAATAGCAGATAGCTTATTATAACGTCCATTGTTATAGATCTTAATACTTTCCTGAAAACATGCTTTAAGTGATGCTATACCACCACTGGCACACCATCAGGCCTGTTGTTGCCGGGCCCCCAAAGGAAGGGGTCCAAAGCAGTTCAAATGCAGGTCTATCAGCGGCAGCATCAACTGTCACACACAATGCTGCCAAGCACTTAGCCACTATTCTAGCTCCTGAGGCAGTGGAGCTTGTAAAGAAATGCCTGCTGACACCACACATCATAACCAATCTCAGTGAGTTCAGGGAGCAACACTTTTCCATTGGTTCAGATATATGAACAACACCTGGGTCAAAATAAAAGTGCAGGAAGAGTAAGGCTTCACAGAACATATCAATTCAGTGAAAAGCAACATCCGGTTCACATGAGAGGGCATGATAGACAACAGGCTGTCTTGCACTGTACTTGTAGAAGCGTTGACACCTGGGGATGGAAGGCCGAAACTGTCAGTAAACTGTTAAACCACTTGATATGTAATTGGGTTGTGATCAATACGTGGGATGGACTGTCCTTGCACCCAAAGAGTGCCCTTGCTGATGACTTTGCGCTGCCTGGGTAACATGCACGTTCTTGGCCTTAAGGTCATCCTGGCCAATATTGCAATACTTACAAAACCCATTTGACATGTACCTGGGTCTCAGTTGTTACTATGATGTAATCCATGAACCCCCTATATGACAGGCTGCCAAATACCAGACTCGGACTATAGGTGACATCTGCTGCTGCTGAGAAAAGTTTCATTCCAGTAGCAAATAAGACCGCGTGGAAGCTGGAAACAGTATCTTGAATAGGGAGCAGGATATGGTAAACGGTTTGAATAAGGATCAGCTGGCTAATGATTAAGGTGAGGTAAACTTCATTGTCACATAGCGAAATTCATTCTCTGCATTTAACCCATCCCTCAAGGGAGCAGTGGGCAGCCTCTGTGCAGCGCCTAGGGATCAACTCCAGATCTGTGCCAGTGTCACTGGAGAAACTAACATGCTTTAGATGGTGGGGGAAACCGAAGCAGAGAGAAGGAGATGTTGGGTGTTTTAATTTGACTTCAAAAGATAGTTTTTCTGGTTCACTATTTATCCATCCATCCACAATTCAGGTGCTTGCTCATAGTAATCGTTAAACTCTGTGTGTACTCATCACAGGGAGTCTGTGCATGTTAAATGCTTTTTGCATACAGATTTGTTTATTCTTCCTCAACCATTTACAGGTGTGCATTTATGACACCTGAAGTCATGCATTCCCAAGTGCATGGAAATGAACACTGGGTTTTTGTCTTAATACAAAAGTTGCATTGCTCATTACAGGCAGGGCTTATCCCATCAGAATTCACATGAGATCTGTAAATGGTATCCACAACAATTAAATATTTTATTGCTTTTATGTGTCCCAGGCTCAAAATTTCAGCTGAAAGGAGATTATTTGAAAAGACTTTGATATTCATCATGCAATATTATGATGGAGCATGACACATTCCACAATGATGTTACATGCCCTCTCCGAGGTGACCCTGGGCCTATGCACAGGAACCGAGCCAATGGTCATCTCAACCCCCAGTGAGCATTGCTTTGTTCCAGGATCAGGGTTACTAAAGGGGTCATCAAAGAAGGCAGGCAGGGGTCCTCTGTCCCCAAGTAATAAAAGTCATTAAAGGGTCATTTATGTATTTTTAAACCTGGGCTATTTGTACATATTTTGGGGTCAAAATGACTAGTAGGTCCAAAAACTTTTTAAATCCGTGCAGTAGATGGCTTCAACCAGCAGCCGCAAACCGGCTGCGTTGGCTGCCACATATTCCTTATTCCTTCCACAGAGGATAAACTGTGTAGATTCACAACTAAAACTCATAACAGAAATATGTGTACACATAAATGTTTTATAAATCTCAATAATTGTGGAACTGGGCACACAAGCCCTATTTCCACTCCCATATTTAGCCATAAATAAACTTAGATATGTCCGGAATCACTTGTTTAAATATTGATACTTTTGCCCGCTCTACCACATATGACTTGAAGAAGTGCAGTTTTACTGATTGTGTCGCATCAGTGAGGTTCTCCAACAGCACCAGAGCAGCTGTCAAATTTAGCTGAACCACTGTACACAGCTGTGTCTATTTATAGTACCCACAACACTGATTTATCACCTGTAAACCATCATTGGCAGTGGGTTGGTGATGGTACAGTGGATAAGACACATGCCTTTGGTGTGAGAGACCCTGGTTTGAATCCACTGTGAGACACCACTGTGTCCCTGAGCAAGACACTTAACCCCTAGTTGCTCCAGAAGCTTGCGATCTCTGACATATACAGCAACTGTAAGTCGCTTTGGATAAAAGCGTCAGCTAAATGGCAGTGATATCTCAATCATCATTATTAAATGTCAGAATTACAATCAATGATCAGTTTATAATTTTTACATTAAAACAGACTTTACAAATTACTTCACAATTGAGGATTATATTTTTTGGTGTTAATGTGGTATTTTATTGAGG